CCCCTTAAAAAAAAACCCCCAAAAAAAAAAAAAAAAAAAAGGAGGGCTGCTGATTGCTAGGCACTTCCTGAGGGTGCTGATACACGTGATAACATTGAATTCTCACCATAATCATCTAAGGGGAGGCACAATTTTTGTTGTTTCTTGTTTTTAAAAGTTTTGTGGCACCAGCAGAGGGCACAATGGTTACGTCGCTGGACTCCCACGTGCTTGACTACAGTTTGACTCCCAGACTTTAAGACCTGCCGGCTTAAAACTCACGCCTAGTGCGTGTGCATGCGGATCTAAAATTCCGGGAGAAGAATGGAGGAGAAGGGATCGTGACGTGGTCATTCCCCCCTTGGGGGTGATTTCTCACTCTCTGTCTCTGGCTCTCTGTTTCTCCAGCAAGTGCACATTCTCTATAGCAAAAAGTCTCAAAAGGTTTTCAGGCTGGCAGGTGGCGTGGTGGTTAAGGTGTTGGACCCCCACATGGCTGACTGCAGTTCAAGTCCCAGACCCTGCAGCTTGCTTTCTCACTTTCCTGCTTTCTCTCACTCTGTCCCTCTCTGGTCAAATTAGACAAATAAATACATTAAAAGTTAAGATAAAATACTTCTTTAAACACTTTGCAGGGCCAGCAGGTGGTGTGATGGTAGGACACTGGACTCCCACACGGCAGACCGCAGTTTGGGCCCCAGACCTAGCAGCTTGCTTTCTCTGTTTCTGTCTGGTCAAATTGAAGAAGTGAAATAAAATTAATAATCCATTTAAGAAATAAAAATTTTCAAAAACTTTGCTATAGAGCACATGGGCTTGAAGGAGAGTGACGAGAGCGATCAGTCCCGGAGGGGGGTGGCCTTTCCACACTCTCGTCTCTGTTCTCCTGCTGGGATTTGGGCACACATGCACACATGCCCCTCATGATCTTCGAGCATAGGGCCTGGGACTTGAACCTGCAGTGTGCCACATGGGATACAACCACCTTAACCTTACACTACCTGCTGGCTTGGAATAGACAGACACAAAGAGAGAAATCGCCTCCCGGGGGATGACCACGCTGCCTCCCTTCTCCTCCAACCTCCTCTCTGGATTTTGGGCATGTACACACATGAGGTGTTTTTGTTTGTTTGTTTGTTTGTTTGTTTGTTTTTGAGAGGGTTTTGCTATAGGGTGCATGCACTCGCCAGACAGACAGAGACAGATAGAAAGTGAAAAATCACCCCCCAGGGGAGATGGCCACGCCACAATCCCTTCTCCATTCTCTCGGGATCTTGGGCACGCACGCACACCCTCTATGTGAGTTTAAGCCACTGGGTCTGAGACTTGAACCACAGTCGACTACATGGGAGTCCAGTGATGTAACCATTATGCTATCTGCTGGTCCCAAGAAGTACTTCTTTTTATTTGTTATTAATTTTTAAATTTGAACAGAGAGAAAGGGAAAGTGAGAAAGCAAGCCACCAGCCCTGAGGGAGTCCAGGGCCTCCCCCTACTCCACCTGCACGCCTTGCACGGGCCTGATGTTCACCTGTGCTGGCCACACACTGGCGGCTCGCCATTCCCTTTCAGTTAGAGAGGAATGGGCCCCCTGTAGCCCGTGGGGCTGGTGAATAGAGGGAGAAACAGGGAGGGCCTCTGAGAGCAGGACGTTTGGGTTGAAATCCGACCCGCTGCTGGGCGAGAGCCGCGTAGTGCTGTGCTGTGAGTAGGAGAAGCAGCGTGCGTGTGCGTGTGCGTGTGCAGAGGTTCTGAGGCAGGAAGGGATGTACCTGTGAACACGTAGGAGGCGCAGGGGGAAACTGCAGGAGAGGAGTTTGCTGAGGCCGCCCCGCAGTGCCCCACAGGCATCGCAAGGACGGCGGGCATGTTGGAAGCCATGTAGGGTCTCAAGGAGGGAGTGAGCGACTGCGCTGTTTGCATGGGCACTTTACAAGCTCCTACTCCAAACCGCGCTGGGGACTCTAGTAACAAAACCTGGGGCCCGTCAGGAAGCTCACTCCCTTTCTTTCTTTTTTTTTTTTTTAATTTGGTATAAGGCATGTGCACTTGCTGGGACGAGAGAGAGAGAGAAATCACCTCCCAGGGAGGATGGCCACGCCACAGTCCCTTCTCTTCCATTTGCCGCAGAATTTGGGGGCACGCATGCACACGTGCCTGGCATGTTTTTCCAGGCAGTGGGGCTGGAACTTGAACCATGCAGTTGGCCATGTGGGATTCGGCCACCTTAACCACCACGCTACCTGGCTGACTCTAATCTTTTTCTTTTTAGCCAAAGTCAGACATACACGTAAATTAAAGGTACGAATTTGAGGTTTTCTATGAAAACGCAGGCAATACTCCGCTTCCACTCTCGCAGAGCACCGCTTCCAACTCTCCTTCCTGACTCGTATTTATTTCAGACTGAAAGCCCTCCTGCCTCAACCTCGCAGCAGCCGGCCCACAGGCCCACCATCAGCCCGGCTGTGAAGGTGGCCAGGGAACCGTGCGGCTTACCTCGCAGCCCGCTGAGTCTCGGCCCCGCCAGGACCGCTCCACGGCTGAGCCTGGTGTTTGTTTCTCTCTGTCTCTAAATAAGTCTGCTCCTTTGGGCGCTCGATGTTTCAGTGGAGGGCATTGTCTACCGATTCTGTGAAAGTTTTTTTTGTTTCTGGATCTTTTTAGGGTTTTGCTATAGGGCACGTGTGCTAGAGAGAAATTTTTTTTTGCCCCCCGGGGGGATGGCCACACTGCAGTCCCTTCTCCTCCAGTCTCCTCTCAGGATTTTGGGCACACGTGCACACGCACCTGGCTGGGTCTGGGGCTTGAACCGTGGTTGGCTATGTGGATGTCCAGTGCTTTAACTAAACACCATGACACCTGCTGGGTTCTGGAAGATAGTTTTAACCCTCTTTTCTGCCTTCTGACCCACCATCCACATAACACCTCTCTCCGCAAACTGCTAGCAAGACGTTAGTCAGTTCACACGTGGCCTCCACGTCGGCCTGTCTGTAAATCTGTGCTCCCTGGAGTTCTTTTATGTTTTTAGATTTTTGCTGTAGGGCACATGCACTCGACAGACAGAAGGTGAGAAATCACCCCCTGGGGGATGGCCACGCCACAATCCCGTCTCCATTCTCCTCTGGGGATCTTGGGCACGCTCGCACATGCGCCTGGCGTGAATTTAAGCTGCCGGGTCTGGGATTCAAACCGCGGTCCACGACATGGGAGTCCAGCGATGTAACCATTATGCCATCTGCTGGTCCTTCCCTGGAGTTCTTCACCGTCCTGTTGTGTCGCTTGTTAGTTTTTACATACTCTAGTCTCCACCGTTATCTAAATGGCTTCTCAAGGTGTTGGAAATCAGGATCTCAGATTGGTCCCGGCGTCGTGGAGCAGGAGATGCCTGTGGGGGTCAACCCCTGTGAAGAGCAGCAAGCAGGCATAGGGCGAGGGGAGGCCAGACTGCCGCCCATGCTTGGCAGAGCTGCTGCTGTCACCCACCTGTGTGGCTGCCCCAGGGAGGAGTGTGACCTTGGGCAGGCGCTCTGCATCTGGGGCCATCCCGGAAGGAGCAGACAACTTCCGAACGCCCAGCAGGTGGGCAACGAGCCTTTCCTGGCAAGAGGGTCTTGGAGGCCCACCTTAGTGACTGCCACAGCACATAGTCTGCCAGTTTTATTCATTAAAAAATAAACAAATGTTGGGAACCAGCAGTTAGTATAATGGCTATGTTGCTGGACTCCCACGTAGTTGACCGCGGTTCGCGTCCTGGACCCGGTGGCTTAAAACTCACGCCGGGCGCGTGTGCGTGCGTGCCCAAGATCCTGAGAGGAGAATGGAGGAGAAGGGATTGTGGCGTGGCCATCCCCCGAGGGGGGTGATTTCTCGCTTTCTGTCTCTATGTCTCTCTCTGTCTGGCGAGTGCACGCGCCCTATAGCAAAAACCTCTCCAAAAAAAAGAAATTTAATAAATAGTAATTATTTAAAAATAAATTTATATTTTATTTATTTATTTGATGAGAGAGAGAAAGCAAGCCACCAGGTCTTGGACTTGAACCATGATTAACAACATGGGAGTCCAGCGCCTTTTTTTTTTTTTTAATTATTTTATTTGACTTTATTTATTTACTTATATTTGAGCAGAGATGTGGGAGTCCAGCACCCTTAAACTCCACGCCACCTGCCAGCCCCAGGAGTCTAGTACCTTAAACACCATGCCACCTGCTGGACCCAATAATTTTTTTAAACAATGTCTTCTTTCTTTTTTCTTTTCTTTAATTTTATTTATTCATTTTAATTTGATTAGAGTGTGGGAGAGAAAGAGGGTAAGTGAGAAAGTGAGAGAGCAAGCTGCCAGGTCTGGGACTCAA